TACTACGTACTACTACTCTCTCTCTCTCTCTCTCTCTCTCTCTCTCTCTCTCTCTCTCTCTCTCTCTCTCTCTCTCTCTCTCTCTCCTCGCAACGTACCTTGAGCACACTCTCGTCCTCCGAGTGGCAGGAGGATTGCAACGTGACGTCGGCCACGGTCCCAGCTTGGCTCACGATGAACACCTTCATCCCCTGCGATACTTGCCGACCCGTCAACACGGCCGTGTTCATCACCTCCCAGTTCTACGGGGCGAGAATTACGAGCTCGATTAAAGCGGCTCCTCTCGTTAAACCTCTCTCAAACTCTCTCTCTCTCTCATTTCGAGGAGAGGCGGCCCGATCAGGGGACGGACGGATTCCAAGCTTTTGTTTGCCGCCCCTGAACGAGACGACTGTCGAAAAAGTTTCGATGGAGCGACGGCCTCCGAGTCAAATGGAGGGGGAAAAAAAAAAAAGGCTTTTAAAGGGCCTCTCTCGGCGAATCTATTCTATTTCATGGCTGCCTATACACACGTACGCGCGCACGTGCACGTAGATCGGCGGTATGAAAGTTATTCTACGCGCGGCCTGTACATCATACCCTTGACTGGCGTGTCTATGTACTTTAGAACGTGGGGCATCGTGGGTGGAAAAGGGAAGGACAGGACGGGGGACGAGAGAAGCCATTTCCAAGTTGGCTTCCGTACAGCCCGCCCTTTGGAAGGAACATCAAACGACTCGGATATTGCAGCGAGGGAATTTAAATCTCTGACCCCGAGCGGCTCTCTATCTCTATACGCTTGTCTCCCGTTTTCTACCACGTCGAGCTCGTCTATCCATCTATCTCTTTCGATCTGCTCCATCGATGAGCTCGATCTTAGGCTCGAGAAGGGGAAAAAAAAAAAAAGAATAAAATAAAACCCGGTATATTCCGAATATTCCACCCGACTTTTTTCCTCTCCTCTTCTGATAAAATATTCTCTCCACGATCGCTCGATATTCTCTCGATTCGCGCGGATCCGTATCTTTCTCGCTCAACCATCGGACGGAAAATTTTCGCCAAAACGGTTTATCGTTATTTTCCTCGAGCTATTTCACTCGAGATAGGGCGGTGCCAATTAAAGATATTTAGCGATCCGTGGTGGTGGGAAACAAAAGTGGAACGGTGGATCGAATTTCCCAAGCGTTGGCCGCTTTTGTCCCGGCCGAAATCCCATTCAGTTGTCGCGAGGGAGGCTGGTTTTAGAAATTCGTGACCGAACGTGCAAACAGAGAACGGACGGGGTTGCTGATGTTTTAAAACAAACATCGAAAGCGAAACGCGGCCTGATCGCCCATGGAAAATCAAAGTTCCACGGAACTTTAGAAACTTTCCATGGTATTAAGTCGAGTGTGTATAGCCTTCGACTACCCAACTTTATCGGGAATCTCTGATCTACTTAACCCCTTGCACGAGATTTAGCTATGCATTATCGAGCGCCGCTCTTCAAAGGGCTCGAACCGTATCGAGTGGACTTCTCTCTCTCTCTCTCTCTTAGCCAGGCTCCTCTCCCTTTGTTTCTTCAATTCGCCCAGATATTCGAACGTATTCGAGACGGTCGAATCCAACGCCAAAATATTTTCCTCCCGTTTGATTAAACGTCGGCGCGAAAATCCATCCACCTACTCTTGGCGTTGAGCTACTGCCAGCGGTGGGTCAGCAGCTTTTACCTCTAGGAGGAGGGATGAACTCGAGAAGATGAACGAGAGGCAACGAGGGGCGTCTCTTTTAATTAAAAACTTGGGCAACGGCAATTAGAGTTACGGATAATCAAGGAACGGCGCGCCTCCTCGACAGCCTCGAACGAATGTGCAACAGAGTTAATCAACTAATTAATCAATTAGCGAATCTTTCCGCCGATTGTCGCGTGTACACAATCTTATTTACTACTTCGTGCTTGCCGATTTCATGGGATCGATGGACGGTTAAGAAGGAACAACTTTCGTGGAGAAACTTGAGAGCGAAATCAATTAGCTCGGCTCTGTCCAAGTTTTCGAGATCGAAGCAATTTTGCGAATAAATTTCCAATGATAAAAACACGAGAGAAGCTTTGTCTCCGAGGAGAGGAGGAACGAAACTTAACGAAACGAAAACGTAACCCTTTTACTCCAGCTTTGATTCGATTTACCTTTTTGATGGCGGAAAAATTTATCCGCATCTATCGTTATTACTTTCATCAACGACGGCGAGGAATATAATATCCGATTTAAGTCAAGTTTCAAAGATCGCGCTTTTCAAAGACACCAAGTTTCCCACGTTGTCAAAGAAGAGGAGGAGGAGGAGGAGGAAAAAGTAAAAGTTCTCGTCCCTGGTTTTTCGCATAAATACGCACCATCCTCCTGGTCGTCCGTTGCAATTTTCTCTCCTTCCTCCTCCGCAATAGAAGTCTTGGAAACCGTACGTAGTGGTTCGGCGGAAAGGATCGTGAGACGACCGTATATACCACGTATATATATAGGTTGTCGTATCGATCGGCACTTTTGCCAGCGGTTATCGGCCAACTTAGTGGATTCTTTTTCAAGAGATTTCGAGGAGAGCGAGAGGAGAGAAGGGAGGATTGGCTGGGTTGAAAATCGGTTTTGTCGTCGAGTGGTAGCGATATTGGTCCCCTTTCCTCCTCCCCTTCGACGGACTGATTCTTTTATTTTCGAATCGGCGAAAATTCCATCGCGGATTCCATCGTGGAATTTCCACGATGCGTGTTCCAGATTGGTTGGGTAAATGAAAATGGTCGGGTGGTGTCTTCGAAAAATCATGGTGGAATCGTAGCCGACGACCTCTTTTTTCTTTTATCGCCGCTGTTCCGCTTTTATCGCGCGTATCGAGCGAAACGCGTTTTCTCCTTTATTTATCATAGAACGAGCGTTTCGTCGTATACACGCAATCTCGTTTGTCCACGATTCTCTTCGATAATTATTCCCTTTTTCCCTCGTATTTCTGCTTAAAGCTTCAACTTCACCGAGCAACTGTGCGATTTAAGATCACAGTTTCGCGCAAGATAAAAAGTTCGTTCGCCTCGTCGAGTTTGAACCAAATTCACGGGTGTCTCAAAGTTTAACTTGGGGGTATAAGAAGCTCACCTTAGATATAGGCAGGACAGCCTGTATGTCGTCCTTCTGTATCTCGAGACGGACCTGCAGCTTCCGCCTCTCGGCGTGATGATGATGATGATGCTGCTGCATCTGCCTCTGCTGCAGCCTCTGCTGCAGCTGGTCCATCCCGTTCAACTGGGATCCGTTGTCGAAAGCGTAACGCACGCTCCACACAATTCGGCCACCGTCCCAATTCCCCTCCATCCCCTCCTCGCTCGCCTCGAGAAGCATCGTGAGGATCTCCTCCGCCGATCTGCAAATGACAATGACGCGTTCTTCGATGGATTGGAGTATAATTATAGCCGTGTGTGTGTGTGTGTGCAATGCAAGATTCATTGGCCCGACCGTTCCAATTCCATCGTTCGAAATCGATAATCGCTTCGAACACGCGCATACCGAATCAGAGATTTCGATTTCTTCAGAGGGATCAGAGGCGTGGCAAATCGTTTTCACGCGAAAACGAACGTACGAACATTTATATACGGTTTCAGAATTTCGCTCGCGATACGATCGAGCGGAATTCGCCGTGGGAGCAGCGAGAGTACGTCAGAGTTGTAACAACAGTTCGCTTCGACCGTGGGGAGGAGAACGAGAAGGGAAGCATCATCGTATTTTATCAAGGAGAGAAGAGAAGGTAACGAGAATTTCGTTTTGAACAATCAACGAGACTCGCGCCAAGGGTATTTCCAGTTACAAGTCGGTGTTACGTAACGTGGTCGCGTTACAAAGAGTCGCGAGTGTTTCATCCATCGAACTCGGCCGACGTTAACGGCCGCGTGAATGAGGATCGCGAGCTTGTACAAACGATGATTTGTGTTACGAGGTCTTCCCTATCAATTTTCCCAATTTGTCGCCAAGAACAACCGTTTCTTCGTTCCGTTTGCTCGAGTTGGAAGAATTGTTGAACGAGTTGAAACAATTTCGTACGCGTTTCGATCTTAAGAAAGAAAGGAAAAAAAAAAAAGAAAAATGAAAGAAGGGAAGACGAGATACATCACAGATTTGAAGAAGAGAAGCGATTGAAATTTAGAACGCAGAGGCAATGAGTCGTAGATATATAGAAAGAAAGATTCGTAGGATAGAGATTGAAAACGTCGATCGAAGGGGGAGAGGGACGAATGGAAGAGGAGCGGTAAATGGGGAAAGGGAAAGCGGGGGATCATCGATCGATCCGAGGAAACGATAGCGAGATCTTTAAAAAATAACGTCTTATTGAGAGCAAAGGTCTCGAGTATCGCGTTGCGTTTCAACATTTTCGCATCTTCGATGATCCAAAACCTAATGGCTAACAAACTGTTTGCTAATTTCATAAAGCAAAAACCACGAGAAGAGGGGGAGGGAAAATCCGCAAAACGGATCGTTGCAGAGGCGATAACGCGCAGCGATTCTCACTAGCTGTTTCGCGCCTCGATTTCCACGCTCCGATAAAATCTCTTTCTCCAATTCTCTCCTTCTTTCTCTCTCCAAACTCCTTCTTCCCTCTTCCATTCTTCCCACTCTTTTATGGTGTCGTTTGCATATTTCCGGACCCTATTATCTCCCTTTAGAGAAATAAAACCTTTTCAACCTGGAACTGCCCCAACCCTTTTCTCGCGCTCGAAAAATTGTGAACCTTTAGAACAGTCTTGGAAAAAGGTAGATCGCTTTGGGAAAAGCTTTGAAAAATAGCAAGGCAACGGAATAATTTGTAAGAAAACGTTCAAATCGAAACGTACGGGTGTGCGACGATAATCCGATAATCTCGGCGACTCCGTTGAGCGCCACTGATCTCTCGATGCACCACAGTCCTCCTCTCGATCGCGAGTTTATCGGGCTGTCTGGTGGCACGTTACAGAGACGCTATATAAGACGTGGCGGATAGGACGTGCCGACAAGTTCGATATCGCGGACGAAACTGGTGAATTATTTTCGCGAGAGATGCGTCCCATCGAATTGATCGTCGTCGCGGTGTCCGTCGTCCTCGTCTCGACCATCGTCGTCGAAACGCGTCCGTCGGCCGATGCGATCGACCAGCAGAATGTGGATTTGAAACAGCAGCCGGATTCGTCCTCCAGCCAACAAGACAGCAGCAGCGAGGAGAAAAGGGCGAAAGGTAAGGTTAAGAGGGAGGCGGACGACGTTGCGCGGATTTTGACGGAGGAAGAGGGACAAGTGCCCGCCAGGTTGGAGCGATCGGCCAGGAAGAAACACAACGACAACGACGACGACGACGACGATAGTAGCAGCAGCAGCAGCAGTAGCAGTAGTAGCAGTTCCAGCGACGACGACGATAAGAAGAGGTCGAGGAAGAAGAAGAAGAAGAACGAAGACGATGATAGCGACGATAGCGATGACGATGATTGCAAGAGACTCAAGAAGTTGAAGAGGAAGGGCGGTTGCAATGACAGCGATGACAGCGATGACAATGATTGCAAGAGACGCGACAAGTCGAAGAGGAGGAATGGCGGTTGCAACGAGGACAACGACGACGACGACGACGACGACGACGACAGCGATGACGATGATTGCGGGGGACGCAAGAAGAAGAAGAAGGGAGGCGATTGCAATGGCAACGATGACGATGACAACGATAACAACGATAACAACGATAACAACGATAACAATGGGAGCGAGAACGATTGCAAAAATAGAATACGCATGAGAAAGTACAAGAGGGACGTTGATGGACAGGACAACGATTCATCGAGCAAATCCTCTTCCGAGGAGAAGAATAAACCGCAGCAGTTATGACTCGTTAAACCTCTATAAAAAAAAGGAAGAAAAAAGAATCAAATAGTGGAAGTCTTTTAACAGTAGAAGGCGATTTTCATACTTTATTTAGGATACGAGGGGGAACGAGAAAATTGAAGAGGACTAGAAGCGGAGGAAAGAAGAAACACGCGAGAACGCGGACGAACGTCGTAATTCACGAGGGAGGGGGGGAAAAAATGCGGCGAGTGCCGCAATATGTATTCTGTTTATTACGAATTGCTCGTTCGCGGATTAAACGCAAATTAAAAAGAAAAAGAAAAAGAAAAAAATATGTTGTGCATTACGACGTCAATTATTTCATCATAGATAAAGTGTATCGCATCATCGTTCCTCGATATTCTATCAATGTATACGCATATATTTATACACGACTGACGTCGTTTCTTCTTCTTTAAAAATTGTTGTATGATAAATAAAGTGTGCCTTTAGATTGATCTTTATTTTCCGTTTCTCCTCCCCCCTCCCCCTCTTTAAAGTTCTTGTTATCTATACGTGGAATTTCGCGATTGAGAAAGATCCCAATCGTAAAAATCGTAAAAATCGTAAATCGCACTTACGCGCTTGGTAAACGGGAGGCATTCTCCTTTCGCCTCGCGGTGAACGTGGCGATCGTGTTCTTCGCGTTAATCTTGCTGTCGACGATCCAGTCCGGGTTGCTGGACGAGGCGTCCAAGATTTTCACGCCGGATTTCACCCTGGCCCTGTAAAAATTAACAAAAAAAAAAAAAAAAAGAATCTTCGTCAATCGCGATATTGAGATCACGGAATAGATATCCTTTCTTCGTCACTTTTTTTCTCCCTCATGCATTATCATTCGAGCAGGGTGGAACGGTTGGAATTGAAGGAAATTCGACGCGAAGAAACACGGTTCGTGATCGGACGAAAGTTGATCGGCAAAGTTGAACGATTTCCGTTTCGTCGTCGAAAGAGGCGAATCGAGGCGAGCGGCAAAAAAGGAGGCGATTAAAAAAAATTCGAGAGAGAAAGGGTTGGTGGAAGGGACGGAAAAACGGAAGACGGAAGACGGCGATGGAAAAGGGAAACGGTCGAACACGGAAAACGGAGACGGTTCAAGGGTGAAATAATAACCCGCCGCTACTTTTTCCAATAACCGTGAGCATAATCGACTCGATGCACACAACGCGGCAATTATCGGCTCAACTTCTTGGAATAATGCGGCCGGCCGGACACACCTCGTCAATTTTTCCAACCTCCCTCCCTCCTCTCCTCGCTTCTTTCAATTATCGCAACTCGCGCCGACTGCCAACATATCGGATTTTCGTTCGAGCGTTCGAACCTACTCGGTTTTCACGCCCCCGCCCCAATAACATTCCCTCTCGAGTAAAAAACGCAAAAAATTGACGCGATTTGAAGGAAGGAACAGGATGGATATAGACTTACGTCTAGGAATTTTCAATTTTGCATCGGGTTACGCCACGTTTCTCTGTCGTGGCGCGTATCCTCTCGTAGTAATCTCCAGCGTGACATTTCGCGAGAAGAAGAAGAAAAAAAGAAAGAAATATCCTATCCACGTGCACGTAAATGGAAATACAACTCGAATCGCTCGCTCGCTCTGCCTTATCCTCTCGATTACGAAGTAGTACCGAGATTGGAAATTGAATTTCCTCGAGCGCGATGAAATATGGCCGGTGAAGGTGGCTATTCACCGTTTAGACAAATCGTTTGCTAGGTGGACGAGGGACAGCCTACGTATATTTTTTCTTTCTTTCTTTTTTTTCCCCCCCCCCTCTTGCGAGGCATTGGCGCGCATACGCGGCCGTCGATCGTCCGCCACTCGACGTGCCTCCCCCCCCCTCCTTTCTCTCTCTCTCTCGATTCCCAGCAACACCCCTCCGCCAGAAAATCCGGCCGGTTTGTTCTTGTTTGCGTATTTGAAAAATATTTTTCGCTCGTTCGATTCGATTACGGGTCGAGGGTCATCCCGCGCATCGCGCCCGCGATAACAAAGATACATGGAACGAAACGTGACGCTCGCTGACATCGATACGAAACGATCGGTGAAAAAATCCGGAACGAAAGGGGGGATTCGTAGTGAAAAAATTAATCAAAGGAATTGCGGGAAAGGGGAGCGAGAGAGGATCGATCTTCTCTCTCGCCCGTGTTCGTGTTCCACGAAATGTATAATCACCATCGGCTTCTATGGTTATCATAGCGAAATCATCGCGCGAAAGAAACCGAATCCCGTGTCAATGAAAGCGCGTGAAAGAATAAATTTGCGAGGAATCGCAAGATAATTTGATGTGATAATTTGATAAACGATCGGGGGACGCGATATCGAGACGTTACATCAATCAGAATATCTCTCGTTGGAAAGTAACGAGATTAATTAAAAACGCGGCTCTGAAATCGCGGATTAACGCAGTGCAGCTCGCAGAGCCGGTCCTTCAATTAGAGAAGCGCGATGCGTTACACGCGAATCGTTACACGAAGCGTTACCCTCTAATCCTCTTCCTCCGTTGAAAAGATAATAATAAGAAGAAAAAAAAATAAAATAAAAATATCAATCCCCGTCGTAATAAAAACGCATTCGTCAAAGGAATTCTTCGTCCCGATTATCGGCGGTCTCGCGCAAATATTTCTACATCCAACCGTGGATGGATGAGAAGAGAAAGAGAGAGAGAGAGAGAGAGAGAGAAAAGAACTTCTTTTGATCTCGTTCGAAAAATTCGCCGCCAATACGAACAAAATTAAAAATGGAAACGGGAGCGATCGAGTTAAAAATGTCGAGCCCGATCGGTGGGCACGACGTCAAAAAAGAGAAAAGAAAAAAACTCGACTACGACGACGACGACGACGTCGTTGGCCGTCACTCGAAAGGACATTTGCCTGGCGTCGCGACGCCGGCTCGCCTACGCTCTCGTCCCGAGTCTTTGCTCCCGAGAATTCACGCTCCAGTTACGTGACCGGGTCACGGGGTCGGAGTTACGGGGAAGTTACGATGCGCGAGGATGGCTGCCGTCTATCCGACGCCACGCTAGATAAATATCTACGCCGCGCTCCTCTCCCTCCTTCCCCCGGCGCGATTCGCCCCGCGCCACCAATCGGGTATCGGCTCGTATCTTTCGCGGTTCGTTTACGGGAACCGTGGCTCGAGCGTTGTTGCTCGCACGAACTTTCACGAGCGCATTCGGGTTTTCACGGGATCGAGATCCCCCTCGAGAAAAGAGGAGGGGAGAAGAGAGAACGGGGGAGGGAAGGGGAATTTTACGTGATCCCCTTTACGTTTTCCTTCCCTTTCCTTCCCTGTGCCGACGGTGAAAACGCGCAGTTACAACAGTGCTCGTGTGTCTGCGTGTCGTTATCCCTCCGCTTTCGGGTCAGGTAATATCCTCGTTTTCTTTTTTCTTTTTTTTTTTCGTCGCACGCGAGCGGAACGAGCGAGTAATAATTGGAACTGGAATTTTTCTCCCTTCGCATACCCTTTCTTTCTTCCGCGTATATATATATATATTCTTTTTTTTTCTTCCTCTTTCTTTTTTTTTTTTTTTTTTACACGTAACTCGATACACGATTATTACGGAAAAACAGAAGTCATCGGAGACGAGAGATCGATACGCAGGCGTCGGCCCGTGTTATATACCGAGAGACGGAATCGAAAAGGAATACGTAGCGAATAGCTACGTGTTACGAAGGATCGTGTTGATTCGAGGAAACGGTAGCGAATTCGATGAATTCGATTTACCGGACCGAATAAGTCTTCCCGCGCTCGACAGAAGGGGAACACCGGCCTAGAGAGCTTGTCTTTTTCAAATCGAATTACACCTGTCCGAGGCCGATTATTCGAAGCGAAACGAACGAACCCCCCTCGAGCTAGCCGAGCTAATTGAGTTAACCTCGCGTTTGCTGCCGAATTAGGGTTGCGCTCACTTCAGCGATATTCACTCACTGAAAGATGGCTGCTAGCTGCTAACCGTCCCTCCAAAAGGGAAGGGACGAACGAGGCCAATGGTGGTCCCTGGCCACCAGGGTGGGGCGCGAGAATTGGCCGGTCGTTTGAAAAGAACCGGCGACGCAAAAGGGTGCGCGGCCCTTCGCCTCCCTTTGTAAACCCCCTCCCCTCCCCCCCTTGCGACAAGAATACGAAACGACACGACAAAACGAACCAACCAACGTCGCATCGACGCGATCACAACATTGGAATCGAGTTATTTCCGCGGCCGGCGATCGGCCGGCATTTACATACAAATCGGCGACGTGCAAAGCGGCTGTTATCGGGCCGATCTGGGGAGGGGCGAGGCGAGGGGAGGGAGAAGGTTTCCGAATCGCGTTGATGAACGGCCTGTGCCGGGCTGCGGCCACAATTTATTCAATGACTCGCCACGACTCGCGATCGATCCCGAAACGAAACGATCGCGTGACCGGTCCGCCGCGAGGAACGTTCGCTCGATTAAGCGTCGCAACGCGTGTCACCGATAATTCGACCGATAATTACGAATCGAAATTCGAGAGAGAGAGAGAGAGAGAGAGAGAGAGAGAGAGAGAGATCGTATTATTACGAATAAAGC